ACCCACCGCTAACTCTTGGGCTACTCTTTAGCAACGAATAGTGGGATTGACCGTCACATTATAAAGCCCCCAAGGCTGAAAGGGCGAGCATGTTTGGTGAGACGGGGATTCGAACCCGCGACCCTCAGATTGCGAGTCGAACCACCTGGCCATGCAGGGCCCAACATGTAGAAGAGAGCTGCGATGAAACGCATTATAGCAAGAAAGACTAATAAATGCATAAAACCGGCTCGCAAAGTTTCTTCTGCGATTACTAATACAGAATATGAAGTGGAATTTAGAGTAGGTTTTTATTATATGTTAAAGTTGTCAAATTAATTATACACTTTTTCAATAATTTAATATTGGATCAACCATTTGTGGAGTTTTTGAAAAATAGGTTACTGAATAGTTAAACACGGGTTAAACATAATTAAGCTATAGGGTTAAACATATTGAACTGCCTCAGTTGGATCAAACGTGGCAGACGATTTGTCTAACAATGAGAAGTTCAGTTTAATTTACTTATATCTGGCAGTTTTCTTTTGTGGTATTCAGATACACTGATATTCGGTGGTAAACTATCAAATGTTCAAGTTGCTCTTCCAGATTTATAATGCAGAGAATAATTCTGAACACAGACATCAAAGGAAATAGAAGCTAACCAGTGTACAAAAAAAAAAAAAAATATTTTTACATACAGTACAATGTTCGTATAATTTACTGACAGACCAGATTTTAATTTACTAAATAACTCTTTGCCGCTGGGGTAGAAATATTTCCAAATATGTGGTAAGGACTCAGCAAAAGTAAAAGTAGATACTAAAATTTTATGTAAAATCAAAGTACATGCGCCCTATCTTACATTATTTATGTAATAATTTCTAATAAACATATTCAAGGGAGGTGAACCACCAACTCATTCTAACCTAAAACACGGGAACAGGAACAGAGCTAAGCAAATATATGGCAAACGGAACAATAACTGCATTATGTAACCTTTGTCTAAGATAGAGAAGTTACAAGAATGTCGTAACTACCTGCAAAACACCTGATTAAAAAAATTTGGAAATTTAAATTCAACATACAGGAATAAAGTTAAGGAACGGTAAAATATTATATTTTTTTATACATCGTACTTTCTCAGCAAACATATACCTCTCAGATTTTACATGTGATATATATATTTTTACTATTTTGTTTACTTTTTCTGTATAATGTCTGGGATTGGGTAATGTAGAAACTATAGCAACTGAATCAAATGATATTGAAGAATTTAATGGATCAAATCCATTGATTTAATAGTTTTATAAGTTCTCTCATGGCCAGGACTTACGCTTTGTCTGCAGTAAAGTTGAGAAGTTATCTTACTTTTTTATGTGCATCAGAAACTAAAACCAGGAAAATGCACGTTCTGTCAAATTAATTTTTCTAGACGTTACTAACATTATATTTCTTTTTTTTTGTATTTTATTTTCTCGAAAGTTCGAAGTTGTTTTACTGTGCATTTAAAAGCAAAGGATCATTATTTCTCATTCTTATAAAGATGCTCTAGTTTGCATTTTGTTCTGTTTTAAACTCCTTTATTTTACCTCAAGTACATTTCAGTTAGATTATTTGGTATACTGGCTTTACTAATGCAGGAAATGGGGATTTACTGAATCTTCTCATTTTTATTTCATTAATCACATGTGTGTCTTTATTTCTTAACAACATTTTCTCCTCGCTTCACCACAATGATATGCAATCGTTCCTATCTTAAACAAACTTTTAACTGTTTTTCACAAAAGCTTTTTGTAGGTTTGTAGGCACAAATGCTTCTGTCGAGTGAAATATGTTTCTTATTTATATTTCATCATGCATTGCTTTGAAACAGTGAGCTAAAATAAAAGAAAAACTTATTAAATAGACATAATGGTTACAAAAAAGTATCAAAGACAGTATGTGCCATATTAAATGTCTTTCTTTATGCCATATAAATTCATTGCACTAATGGTTTATTAAACTGACTTTTGCTTGTGTATACGATCACGGATAAGTCTGCACTAGTTTAAATGAAGTAACAGCAAGTATATTTTGTGAGCTAATTTTATCATAATAAATGTTCAACAACTGTCAATTTATTTGGACAATTTAAGTGGGACTCAAATATGGAATAAACCAAACGAAGTCCTGTATGTTAAAGGCAGTATAAATGCACAAAGATGTAAATTCAAAGTGTACCAAAATGTACCCAAGGTTCTATGCGAGCAAGTTTTGAACTTTCCCGTTCTATATCAGCAAGTTACTTTGCTCTTCAATACTTTTAGAGTCTTCACGGATCCAGAAGTATGTTCTTCTAGTTACAGAAGAAATGAAATTAAAGCGCTACAACGAGATACATAAAGAATAATACGTTATTACGAAAAAAAAACTGTTGTGTTTCCGCATTATGTATATATCTACATATTTATATATTTTCTTAAGCGAAGTTGAGATTAAACTGGATAGGTGTACCCCCAACGCAGTTTGGGTCTTAATTCCTAAAAAAACCAAGGCACATTACATAATTATGACTTGTGCCCCGGTGTTAGATGTTTGTATTGTGGCTGTGATTTTTTATATTTTTTATGGTTTTTCATGTTCTTATTATTTTCTTGTTTCTTTAAAAATTTTCATCAAATTACATGTATATATATATAGTTTTATTTGTTTGAAGTTAAGCACAAAGCAACACAATGGGCTATCTGTGCTCTGTCCACCACAGGTATCGAAACCGCTGTGCCACTGGGAGGCATATATAGTAAAAGGTTTATTTTGTTCTATTACATTATTCAACAATTTAGAAACACCAATAAAAGTATGGTAATTTCTATTTATAAATTAATATATCACTTGCCTTGTCAATTTGACAATAATATAAGCAGAAATATAGCTTAAGTATTTATAGTATTTTAGTCTAGTTTTATCTCTATGTCATTCTTGTGACATAAATAATGTTCGAACCTTTGTGTTATGTCAATCGAACATGTTAATTATAACCTTATTGTCCATCCCTGTTTGCCTACATAAACAGGTGTTTTAAAAGTTTGACTAGAATTTTTGGATTTTGGAATAATAAAACCTCTAACATCAGAATAAGTTTGCAACTTATTAATTCCTAGAGTAAAACTTAAAGGTTTGAGGTAATAACAAATTAATTCTATTATTTCTATATTGGAAATATTTCATGTTTTGATGGATACTTTATAAACTGTCGCTTACTCTTTAGGAGGAGGTGTGTGAAAACATTGCCAAAGGTATGGCAGTTTTGGGACCAGCAATAACACTCGACACCTTAGTTGAGACACTTGTAATAAGAGTTGGAACTTTTTCAGGTAAATTGCCTTTTTTGAGCACCATGATTTTAGTAAGGAGGTGATGTAGATTTTTTGTAATCTTTTATTATTAATTGATTTTCGAAGTAATATTTGTCTTTTATCATTAATTGTTTGTCGAAATAATATTTAAAAAAATTATAAAAACTACTTTTTTATCTATATGATCAGCGTTTACTTGACAAGTTCATGTGATAAAAAAGATATAATATTTTGTTTTCTTCTTAATATTAATTAAACAATTATATCTGAAATATAAGTCATGGTTTATGTGACGTATGTTTTTAAAATTTCTGTATGAAGTGTTTAACAGATATAGTTTGTTTGGTTAACATCCATTTAAACAGGTATATAAAGAACCACATTTTACTTATGATTGATCTGCATGTGTTTTAACAGCATAGTTAAAACAGATACCTTATTCCCCAATACAATTATATGAAAAAGAGTTAACATATATAATTTATTATTTATTTCGTCCTCTATCTCGACAACTCTTTAAGAAACAAGTCTTGTACGTTTTGAAAGTTAAGCCTGAACTTATATTACAAGTTAGTTGCTTGTGTTTTGATACGAATATCTGAGGCAGGTGTAATATATGAAAATAATAACTTCACAATGGCATAAGAAATGTATTTTGTTTTAATAAATATTGAAATTTGATCATTTATAGCTTATAGTGTTATTTGTGTTTGTTTTTCTAACAGGTGTGAAAAAACTGGAGGAAATTTCTTGTTTTGCTGTTCTCTCTGTTCTTGTTAATTATATTGTCTATATGACATTTTTTCCTGCGTGTCTATCTCTAGTGTTAGAGGTAAGGAAAAGTAAATCGTAAGTTGTTTACCGTTAATATAGCATATATGAAAATAGTGTGTTTTTTTTTTAGTTTTCTGTATAAATTACTAATTTCCACAGCTTCTTTCAACCTAATATATATATATTTATTTTGTGACATTTCAGGCAGAGCCCATAAAAAAGTTTACTTTCTGAACTTCATGTGAGGGAAACATATCAATAGTTATACAAATTCAATAATACCGAAAGTCTAAACTGAATCATTTCTTGAAACAATTTGTACACGTCCATCCTTCTTCACTCTGTAATCTTCACAATTTTTTCTGTCTAACAAAGAATAATTGAATTAAAATGTATATTATTATTTATTTTGCGCAGTGTCAGCATATGGTTTTGTTACAGGCTAAAATTCTCATCTGATATAATATTCAAACATGAAATTAAACTGAACAGATTACATTGCATATAGAATTTTATGCTCACATAATCAAATATTTTTACTTATACTGTTCAGTGAAGAAACCAGCTCAATAAGAAGTTATTTTCATAAGATAATATCCTAAACTTCTGAAAATAATAACAAGCAGCAGATTTAGTATTATTTTTATAGCCATCAAAGCTTATACATATTTTCGGTTTTATGTTTATTTTATTTGTTTCCTTGAAATAAAACATTGTAGTTAAATGATAGTTTATATTTGGGATTTGCGAATGTGCTACCTCGACACTATCATACTCACGTTAATCATTACGATTGTCGGGTTAAATTATGTGTTAACATTAAATTTACCTATAATTTCTTAATAAAGACTTTTTTAACTGTTGTTAAAGTATGTTCATAATTAGTACAGTATTGTACAGGATTGAGTACATTATATTATAACCAAATCAGCAAGTCGTATGACAATCACAACTGGTGGAACGGAATGTATAAGAACTACATTTTAATATTGCTTAGCGTTCCATAAGTAATTTGATGTCACCGAAAATTGATCGCTTTTGGGAAGAGTATGCAAAAGCCCTTTCCAACACAATATATTCATACATTCAGATCATAAAAATATGTCCAGACCAGTGAATTAGAATTTCCAAGACGGAGATATCCCATGTACTTAATTGCACTAAAAAAAGAATATAGATCAACTTGGAGAACCAAGACCATACAAAAAAAGACCTGCAACAAGCCATATCCCAGCCGTGGTCAACATAGTGTGGCATCATGTAAAAGTGAGAATCCACGAACATGAAGTTCAGTCTTAAGAGCTGTCATCGTTGCCCCTGACAACAGTATATAACATAAAAAGAAGAATCTCTGTCTGGAAAAGTGATATAAGTCACGTGTACACAAGTTGTTTACACGACATATCCGTTTATTCGTCGCACACTTCAAGCAGCTTGAGGAAAAAACTAGTATTCATGGTATTCTTTACGTAGACAAAACGATCAACTCGCTGGAGGCAGCGCCTTCTGGTTTTTGTGTAATTGGACTGTTGAAGCTGCGCTGGAAAACTGTCCTTCTCTTATACTAGATGGATTAGGCAGGAAGGATTGGTGTGCTTTGGATATTACAGAGCATGATCGGGCGTGGCGACATGGAATGTAGTGGTGAGGCTCCAAAATAATTTTAATATAATGCACTCAACCCCGTAGAAAAAATAAGAAACAAATGAAAGTCCCGATGAAGACCGTTTTGGCGAAATGTTGACCACTTATTTCTTCTCCCCTTGCAGTTGTTTTAATCTTCTGCGTATTTTCAATACTGTATAAGTTCGTTTTAGTTTATTTTGATATATTGTGTACAGAACTGAGCTTCATTATTGACTTGAGGTTTTCTGATACTATTGATCGCCCTGGTAAGAAACATACTGAAAAAGCTGTTATTCAAGTCTGCTATAAAACGAAATTAGTACTGTTGTACTTTGCACAGGCCTGCGATGGTTTTATTGTCTTGCTTGATATTTGTACATGTTCTATAGTAATTCCTGTACGCTGAATCCGAAAATTATATCCATTTTTCTCCATCACGAACAGATTTTTCACAAAACGTCATATGTACGTTTGCATAAGTGAATCATTTTCATTGAAATCTGGTCACATTTTGTTATATATAAAATGTTGACAACCACTGGCTATAGATTTCTTTAGACCAATTGCGACGTGAGTCCTATCGATCATTCTGGAATCCGAACATAACAAACATAACAATAAAAAATGTTCATTGAGGAAAACGAAATAATAATTTGATCTAAGTAAGAGTTTTTCTTTCCGATTTGTAAAAAAACCTTACGTGATAGATAAAAAAAAAGAATTTTATTTTCAAAATCTGCGTAGCTGAATTATGGAAAATCGATTATTAAAACAAACTTTTATAAAATTTATATTCGCACTAGTGATACCGCCTTATGTGCAACATGAATTTTTGGAATGTAAAATCGAATGTGTTGCCTTGGGTTATATTCAACAAGCGTCTTCAGAGCATCAATATCATTAACTAAACCTTTTTTTATCCTACGTGATGTTTTGTTACTATTATTAGAATCATAGAAGTTCATCTCTAAGGGACATGGTTGGCTTCTTCCTTTCTGACAATTTTGTGTTATCTTTTATCTAGTATTGGACAAAGGCAGACTGCATTCTGGGAAATTCAAACACCCTATTACATTGGATATTGAGAGAAGTATACACTGCATTATTTCAAAAATAACTAAATGTTAATGCTCTTGAACTCATCCCAAAGACGTTAACAACAACAAGCATGATTTTACAAAGCAAATAGTAGAAATATTTCACGCATGGACCTTGAATCCTAAAAGGAATCTTACCAGATGCCCATGAGCAAGTTCCGTAAATGTTGACAAGGTGACTGGTTTTAAGAAGTAGAGTCTCAAGGGTTTGGACCAAGATTTTCTAAATTTTAAATAATGCCAATTTGTTAAGGACTTATGAAAACACTTGCAAGATATGGAATTGTCTAGGATAAAATATAGTTGTCCTATGTTTAGCAATCATACAGTATTTGTTTCGAAGCAACGTGTTGATAATGTAGATACTATAAGTCTATTGGATAAAGTTTTTTCGTCTCTTTAAAAAAGTAATAATTGAAAAATTAACTCCTATGAGCTCAAAGCTTCAAAAATATGAGTTATAAATTCGTCATCAGTATTTCTTTCTAATGAAATCGTGGTGGGCTTATTTTGATCATACTGTAACAGAAAATGTTTTGTAAGAGTTGATTTTGCTTAAAATAGTCAATATAGCACTTTGTGTTTTACGGGAACTGGGAAATTGTCAAGTAAGCTTCTTGTGTATCAGTGAAGGTAAGTTTTTTTTGATATCGTAATAACAATCTATTTGTATCTTATGTTGTAATGACACATTTATTAACAATGTTTAGCAATCAAACAATTTGTATTTTATGATTAATTTTTCACAGCTGAATAGAAATAATGATGAAAATCGCCCTGTTTGGCAACTGAGTCAGTTTCGAAAGGAAGAAGAACAAAAATCTAATCCTGTTCTACGACGTGTTAAAGTTGTTATGGTGAGTGTGTGATATTAAAGTTTACATTGGTACGAACATGTAACAGTTTATTTATAACACATATAAAATTACATGGTTACTTCATGAACTAGTATAACAATAAAACTAACATTTGTTTGTTTTTAATTATGCACAAAGCTACACAAGGGCTATCTGTGCTCTGCCCACCACGGGTATCGAAACCCGGTTTCTAGCGTTGTAAGTCCGCAGACATACCGCTGTGCCACTGGGGGGTCCTCTAACATTTGTAGGACTAACACGTATACATGAACACTGTAGTTAATAACTCCATTATCTACACCACTAATTTTGTTGTTGTTTTTTAGCGCAGAGCTACATGATGAGCTGCTTGCACTATGTTTACCCACCGGTGACACCACTATTCCTGATAAAAACTTCAACATATGCAACACTATAATTAGTAGGAGCAATATATGAAGACTTAAATGAATAAACTAATATCTGTATTCCTAAAACAAATAAATAAACATGTTACTTTGTAAAAGTATTTCTAACACTAACATTAATGTAACACTAGTAATATAAAAATCAATATGTAAGCACAAATACTGGTAAAAAACTATATATGACAATTGCATTAGTAGCCAAAATGTTAATAATAATCATAAGCATAACAGCTTAATTTATAAACCCATAACTTAGATGCACATGTTTTTGTGAGTGTAACAATGATACCGAAAACAGTAACATTCATAAAATCAACTATCTGTGACACTCAAAAAGAAAAACAACGTATTAGTAACATTGGAGTTACTGACAAAAAATAGCTGAGGCCGTGATATTACTCAAATGGACCAGTTGTTTTACTAATACCAATATCTGTAACATACATGAGTGTAAAACTAATACTGAGATAATACTATTAGTAACAACTATATATGTGGCACTAGTATAAGCACGGAGATTAGTGATACCAATATGTGTAACACTGGTCTTAGTACACTCATATTCATAACGGTGATTTTAGCATAACAAAAATATGTAACATTGAAATTAATTGCATTACATTAGTGTGAGTGATATCCATATACATAACTGTTATACTAACAATACCAGTCAATATCTGTGACAGTAAAACTAATGGCATCATATCAGTTTCTATTGTGGTAGAACCAAGGTTGGGTACTTTATATTAAAATTATCTTGAGTCTCACCAAGTCGTTACAATCCAGATTGTCACATCTAGTCATGCTCTGTCTGACGACCATGCTTGAACTGATATGTCATAGAAGCAACTTGTGTATACGTGACTGTGTTCCTTTTTCAGATGGAGATCCTTTTTGGTTATATCGCATAGTGTTGCATTGGTCACTTGTTAAAAGATGCCACACTTTTCTTTATCGTGGTTGGGATATATCTTGTTAGAGATTTCTTTCGGGATGGTGCTGGTGTTCCACGTTGATTCATATTCATTTATTTTCCAATGCTATTAAATATAATAGATATCATCTACTTAAAAATTCGAAATCCCGGATATGAACATATCTTTATAACCTGAGTGTAAAGAGCTTTTCATACCCTTCTCAAAAGCGATCAATTTTCAGTGGCATTGTACGCATACTTAATGGCAAACATCGTCAAAATGTATTTCTGATACACTCTCTTCCACTGCGACTTTATATCGGAATTGGTCGTCACGTGACTTAATGATTTGCATATTCAAAAATAATTTTGATATAATATACTTAACTTTGAGTACATTTATTACAATAATTAGTTTCATCATGTCATGAGCATTCACATTATTGGCAATAATATTATTATGATAGACGACCATACTACTGAGCTGATTTGCTTAAGATGAGCGTGCGTTTATCGTTGGCCTTAATTAAGATATTAAACCAATTTGAATAAGCAATTACCCGTCATACCCATCTTAAGTATTTTGCAAAATAAGTTACTTTGTTTTCGCCTTCATATTAACATGTCCCCCGAAAACAATTTAGAGCAATCAATTGTTTGATCCAATAAAACCTAGTGAATAATTAGGACGTCTAAACTTATGAGTAACATTGAATGCTTTTAATGGTATTATTCTGGCCAGGTGGCTAAGGCGCTCGGCTCGCATTCTGCGGGATGCGGGTTCGAATCCCCGCCAAACCAAACATGTTCTCCCTTTCAGCCGTGGGTGCATTATAATGTGACGGTCATTCCAAGAGTTGGCAGTGAGTGGTTATGACTAGCTAAAATACTTAAATGTACCTTTTCGATACCTCACTACTATAAAGGCTTGGTTTAGTCTCATATTTCATTGGTGGTAGTGTTCAGGATCACTGATAAGGAGTGGAATTCTCCGAAACTAGTCTGGCTCACAGGCACACACCCAATGAAA